TATATATATATATATATATATATAAAAAAGCTGTATTTGTGTAATATAGGCTAGATATAGTCCATTTGAACATAAATCTGCTTGGATCCCCAAGGATTGCTTCCTTTTTGAGGTGACTTTATGTATAAATATATAATGTATTTATAATATAAATATATATTTGTAAAACATAATCTTATAATATATTAATATAAAACTTTGTGTTAATCATAATATTGAATTGCAAAATTTCGAACTTTGCATACATCTCATCCAGTTTGAGTTCAGTTTAAATAGTTTTTAATCTGAATAAGTCTTTGTAATCTAATGTGAAAGTAGTTTTAGAATTTCTTTTGGTCTTTTAAGTGTTTGTGACATGTAATATTATTTTAATGACTCGTCTTTCATGTGATTAAAATGAGATCTAAGGCGCCTCCTATTCATTCTGACAGCAGCCGTCTGAACTGTGGTCTGACCCAAGATGGCGGCCCCCTAGGCACGTGGGCCTCGCTGCCAACAGTTTCCAATGAGGCGTCTGCTTATATAATGTCTGTGTGTATAGTGTTTAAATGTTGTGACCTACTGTCTGACAGGAAGGTGTCAGCGAAGTACAGAGTCCGTACGAGGCCGGTGAAGGAGTCGTCTGAGGAGCGGGCTTCGATCTTCCTCTGGACGGGAGCTAGCTCCATCTCAGCCAGCTCTGCCTCTAGACGAGCGTTTGCTTCCTGGATCTGTTCAGGTAGGAATTCCCCACATAAAGAAATACCAGCACAGAGCTGCGCTGAATAGAGTTAGCATGAGATGCTACCTTAGTGTTGTTGCTGATGTGATGTTTCCTCAGAGAAACTCTGCTGCGTCGGATTCTCCTGAACGATTGGCGCAGCGACTTCTTTATGCTCTTCACTCTGGATAGAGGACCCTCCATCGCTAGCTGGTCGCTTGGGTTTAATGTGCATCTGGAGTTTCAAAAAAGATGCTTTTATTCGTTTTCTCCTGGGAGCTGCTGAACAATCAGATTCACAGCTCAAAGCTAAACTAGCGCAACATTAAAGCGACAATCAGGAAACCCGCCTCTGCTCCACCTATTAACCTAGAAGCTGCACTGAATCTGCAGCAGCTCATGAAAAAACAATCAGACACTGTAGATCAGAAAATATCCGGATTCAACCTGCATCCTGCCTTCGGATTCAGGTTTTATAGTTAGAATCATCCGGTCAAGCCCCTGTTACACCTTGACGATTTAGCCAGCGTTTGCCTGTTGTACGGAAAATCTGGCAAAAAACGCTGGCCTACCTATGATAAGTCATGGGTACGTCTTGTATAAGTTATGAGCAAGCTGAAGTACGCTGAAACACTCTGGCACACGTCGACCTACTTCTAGTACGTTGTATGCCAGCGTATTTTCATACATTATCTGATCGTTGACATAGGTTAATGCTACGTTCAGACCGCAAACAGCAGGAGCTGCAAAAACGTGCGTGCTGCTTCATTTTTACGCCTGAACAAGTTTAGTTCTGACACGCGGCTGAAGCATCTTTGCTGCTCTGGCTGAGCGGTGGAAAGTGGGTCTGATGCACGTTGGGCGGAGCTACCCTTTCCTTTCTTTGCCTGGAACAATGGCAGCTATATTTGCCGTGATCAGTGGGTAAAAAGTAGTGTTGCGCCGATGCCATTTTTTCCTAACAAACTTCCTAGCAGACATGATGCTCAATCTGCTGCCACCAAAAACCTTCTTTATTTTCTCTCTTTTCTTTTATTTATTCTGTTTTTTTTTTGGGTAGGTAGTATCGGGAGCAGCGATAACTGATGCGGCAGCGTAATTCCCATGGAATGATGCTTGTGCATCATTTCATGGGAATTACGTGCATATGCAGAAGTTAGGCTGTTGTTGGACATCAGTTCTGGACCCGTTATGAGTACTGTATACACCCAAAATAGAAAAAATCCGTATAAAGTTCAGCGTATGCCAGCGTTTAAGCAGATTCTGGGACATTGGGCATACGCTGGATAAATCAGCAAGGTGTGACAGGGCCCTCAGTTTATTATGTACCAAATGAAAAGATTAAAATCTATGTGCCAATAATTAATCTGGAAATAACAATGAAAATATAAGAACTGTTCCTTTTTTAATTCCTCTTTACTAATCCAAACAGATGAGGAACACATACATTAATTCTTTAATTAATTTTGGGCTCTAATAGCATCTCTTCTTTAACAGCATCACTAAACAAATGCTGCTTATATCACGGTGTGTTCATCTTTTTAACTGAGCTTTAAATTAGGATTTCATCCAATATTGCTTTTTGTCTTAAACAGTAAAATAACACTTGAGCTCTCTTTTAAAACGTTTTTATTTCATTTTGGAAACATTAAGCACAGCGTTGGTGCATAAATGGAGCTTTTAGGAGGTGAAAAAATGTGAAAAAAGGCCCCGCCCCACGAGAAGGCCCCGCCCCCATGTGGATCACTGCTGCGTCTGAGGTTAAAAGCCGATGAGGAAATAACAATGTTATCTTTTCTTCTTCTCTACTTACTTGATCAGAACTTTGTTCTTCTGTAGATAGTCAAAGATGCCGAAGCCGTGGCTGGTTCCAAAAGCGACCAGCTTCCACTCTGAGTGCAGCGCGAGGGCGGTGACCACAGCGGGGGGCTGGCACTGGACCACGGTGAACGGCTGGAAGCCTGGGGGGAACATCACCGGCTCCTCGCGGACATCCAGCTGCGTGTGGCCCTGCGGCATCGCAGGCGGGAAAGAGCTTAAGATCAGCAGCTACTAAACTCTTTTAGCTCGGATTGTTTAATTTATTCTTCAGTTTAAGTTTTTATACATTTGCTTTCAGAGGAGTGAGGACGCGTTTCTATTAGTCAGCTGGTCGTTAGCAACATTAGAAATGAATGACAGTTATAAAAGTTAATCTGAAAAGGAGAAAATTGAAAAAATTAATTTTTAATAAAACCAAAATATATATGAAAAAATAATAACAACAGCAAAAACAACAATTGAACAAAATTAGAACCGAATATGAAATAAAAGTCTCTCTCTCTCTCGACTGTTTATAAAAACGATCTCTAGCCTGGCTATAATACTCCATGGTCCAAAATTCCCTCCATAGTAAACAGCGTTAGCTTAACACAACATAAAGATGAACCCTGTAGGAGGAGGGAATTCTTCAAAGTGATGTTTAGAGATCACATTTTTAAATACGACACTGCACCATTTTAAAGCTGGTGACTTATTCTCCTAATCAAGCAGTAAATGGTTTCAGGTTGGTGTCTTACCTTCCAGCGGAAACCCTCCTGTCCCTGCAACAGATCCATGACTTTAGCCTCCACCGTCTGCTCTGCTGCCTCATCATTCAGCTCCAGCATCAGAACCTAAAGCCACCGAACACAAACAACAAGGGACAGACCAAGATCAATGGATCCACTCAGTTTGGGAGATGGAGTTTATTATGTAGGTCATTCAGCAAGATAAAAAAATAAAACTTCTTTCACGTCATTAACTGAAGCCATTTTAACATCAGATCAAGCGAAGATGCTGTTAAGACTAAAATAGACACCAGATAAGATCCCTTGTATGTCTTGTACATATGAAGAAAGTGACAATAAAAGCTGACTTGACTTGATAAGGAACAGTTTAGGCCTTTTTCATTAGAATCTGCTTAAATCATAGCGACACAGCTTAATCTAGAAATGCAAGATTAAAAACCAAATTAGACCAGCTTCATTTCCGTTAACCAGGAGATCATTTAAGGAGGGTTATATATTTGATCTGGACTCTGATTAAATCTGTCAGTGGGACAAATGGATGCTTAATGGGAGGCGGTCTAAAAAAAGAGGCTAGAAAAGAGCTAGCTCTCAGTTTTTAGTCTAATCCACCGATCAGAGCTCAGAGACTTTTTTCTGTCAGCAGAGCTTTTAAACAGCTGCTTCTGGTTCTGGTTCCTCTTAGATGAATGTTAGAACTTCATGAAGCTCATTCACTCAAAGCTTCTCCATCTATCAGATCAACCAGATTCTGGATCCATAATGATTCTGCTCGTCACTCCGATCCGCACCATCAGCTCATTTCCACATGCGCAAGCAGATAATCATCCAGGTCGCCATCAATAATATAATTATGGTTCTAAATGTACTTATTTCTATCCTTAAATCACTAAAGAATAATAAACTACATGTTAAAATATTTCATAACTTTTCTGAAACAACTTGATGCTTTTTACGTTTTCTCTGTTAAACTGCTTGTCGGACATCATCAGACATGATCAGAGGAGTCCGGCTAAATATGATTAAACCATGTCTATCTGCATTTTAGTTGTTTCTTTTAAGTTGTTAAGTCTTATTTACATGTGAATTCAAGTACTTTTAGAAACTAACAGAAAACCCAGTTTTTGCATTTTAGCAAAACATCAAGAAACCAAACATTTAGACTGGATATCAGCTAATGATGCTAGCAGAGAGGCTGCTGCTCTTTATTACCATGGCAACCTCCAAGGAAAACGACCAAGATCTAAGAGGACGGCCTCTCCTCCTTTGGATAGAGCTTATAGCACCAAAGGTCTATCAAGTTCACACTTTCCATAGCAGCCATGGACGGACTGACAGGAGAGGACAAACAAGAGTCTCCAGTTACTCCAACATTCCCAGTAATGAGGACAGGCAGGAGGTGGGAGAGCCTGGAGCGTTGGAGGCGTGGGAGGACCGAGTCTGAGGTCAGCCAGAGGGTTAGAAGCACGCAGGCAAGGCGGTCGCTATGAGTGAAAGGGAGGTTTAGGTGATTCTAAACGAGGTTGGTAGACGGAGGGAGGAAGGAAGGTGGCGCCGTGGGACCGAATTACAATAACGATGCTAAACCAACAGGCCAAGTTTGGTGAAAACATCAGACATGCTAAGAAGAACACCAGGAGAAAGGGGAAGATTTGATCGATGAAGCCTATGGTCACCTGTCCGGCGGTGCCGGCGACTGTCAGGTAGCCGCTGTATTTGCACAGGTGGATCTTCTGGATGCCAAGCCTGGGGTCGTCACTGTACGGGTCGAAGCAGCCAACCTGCAAACAGACACATGCAGACAGTTGTGAGTCACATTTAAAAGCAACTGCAGGGAGCAGCTGCGCAGAAAACGAACGTAAAGCTGCTCTTTGAGCAAAAGATTGAAGCCTTTAAATGCAAATTCAATTTGTAACCAAATGTGGTAAAACTTTGTGTCACTATTGTCAATTATACGTTTGATTAAATACAGGATAAAAATGTACGTTTAAGCTGTAATTTGTGTAAACTTGGGTATGAAGCTAATTAGCGACACCAGGCATCTAAGAGAAAAAACAAAACTGCATTTTAAAGCAATTGTTTCATTGATTCTAATAGAGTCAAACCATGCATTTTATTCCTTTTTCATTATCTCTGCATTTCAAATGTAGCTCATGCATAGGAGGTCGCCTTTCTGCCCCTGCTGCCAATAAGGAGACCCAGTTAGATGAAAGTGCCCCAAAGAATCATCTATAATATTTTTTGGGGGCATTTCCAGAATTAAAATGTTTAAAATACTTCCCATTTAATTTACTAAAGTTTCCCATAAGCTACTAAATTATTTTAGCAATGGCAAATGACTGCTGGCTTTTAAATAAACACTGTTTGCTTTTTCAGAATCCAGTGTTTTAGCAATAAAATAAACTTTACTGCACAGTTAAAGGCACTTTTATTCCAGGTTTCATCATGAGTCTATTGTATTAATTATTCTTACATTATGATTTTTTTTCATAATTTTAACTAATTGTTGAAATATAAATAAAAAATATATGCACATGTTACAGTTAAAACAATGCAGATTAACAATTTATGCTGATTTTATTAGTTTTCGCTCCTTAATTGCTTTGTGGAGCTAAAAAACTCCAAACATAAAATCCGACATGACTTCAGAAAATGGTCAGAAGTGTTGGATTTTGACAGACTGGCTGATTATTCACCCTCCCAATGAATCAGTGACATTAAAACACATCTACTGGTATCAATCATAGTAGAAACAGATGTAGGAACCAACATCTGTGCCGGTAGCAGCTTTGTACATTTCCTTTGCAACCTGGATTCAAAGTGGAAAGGTTTACTGTCATGCAGCGCAGGCAGCCTGCGCTGCATGACAGTGAGAAACGGAGGCAGGCTTAATGCCAGAAAACACTGAATCTGAATTTGCCTCCAATCTGACAGAAAAGCGTGCCTTGGAGGTGGTGGCGTTTAGCCCCGCTCCATCAGTTTGGGGTCCTTGGCCTGGAAAACGTTGAAGACCCCTGCTCTAAACCCTGCAGGACAGCAGCCTTCGAGGACCGACGGAAGTCTCCATTAACACAGAAACATTTTTGCTAGATTTGGCGCTAGGTGCTTTTTTGAAATAAAGGCGCTAGGGGGGGGTCTAAAAATGTGATCGATTTAGCAACAAAAGCGCTAAGTTGGCAACAGTGCTTCTATCATGACTCCAATTAGTGCAGCTCCTACTTGATATATTTACTTATGATCATAAAGCCAGGGTATTTATTCCTTATATCTGTGGTCAAACTTTTATTAATAATAATGTTACATATTTAAGTAAAATTAGTGATTTGCATTTATTATAAAAACTTTATTTATTTTGTTATCCTGACTTATTTGGAGTTCACATATTAAGTTACCTTTATCTTAAAAGACTGGTTAACCTTAGTTTTTAACTTGTATCAGTATTTAAACTGGTAAGAAGCTATTAAGCTCCCGCCGCTCATCCCCGAGAGGTTAACGAGTTCCCTCACTAGATCTCTGCTCCCTAATGACATCACAGCAGCAGCTCCCAACCTTTCTGAAAGGAGGCCACTCCCCTTCGGCGCTTTGGCTCATGTTGTCGTTGGGATCAGCGTCTGCGTGGAACACCGGCGCCGTGGACAGCTTGTAGAGTGGACTCAGGCAAACCCCCGACGCGTCCCAGAAACGCACCGTTCCGTCCTCATGTCTGCGCCAAACAGGAAAAGATTTTCTGTTAGAAACAGCAGCGATGTTTCAGGTGAGGTTTCCTAGGAGCGAATGGACCGACCCCGTCAGCAACAGGTCCCTCTGCGGAGGATCCGGCGCCAGGTTCTGACCTCCCGTTATTGGCCAAGGCTAGCAAGAACACAGGAGCAAAGCATTTTCATCAGGCTTCATGAGGTCACAGAAAAGTCTGATAAAAGGAAAAATCTGTAGAAATTAGCAGGATTTGGACCAAATGCGGAAAAAAACATGTAGAGAAAGGAGAACCTTTTTAGAGTAATGAGTGTTCTGCAGCGACCCGGCAGCAGCAATCCTTTCCCAGAGTTTCAGAGGAATGGCCGACACGTGGTGGGAGCAGGTGATGGCCGAGCTGTGGAGCGGCACCAGGTAAGGCGTCTCAATGACGGGCCAGCCTTCAGTCTGCAGGTCAATAACAACCAGCTCCTCCTCCACCAGGACCACCAGAGCACTGGGCTCTTCTGCAGAGAGACGCCACAGATCTCAGAGCCTGAGGAAACATTTTCTGCAGCATCAGTTTAACTGCATGAGAAAAAATCTGCACTTTTTATCCTCTGATCATCCGTCTGATCTTAGCTTATGCTCAAAGCTGGACATACCCAAACAGCACGGCCTGTTAACGGTCCAAACATCCCACATGGGTGCAGCGGATGCATTTCAAAGTGCAGGATTTCTGGCTTTAGCCAGAGGCATCAAATAAAGTAAAAATACTTTGTTACTTAAGTAGAAATGTTGGCTATCTATGCTTTACAGGAGGAATTATAGTTTAGACAACTTTTTCCTTCTACTCCTTACATTTTAAAAATAGACTCTTTAGTTTTGTTTCATTTAAGCTCATTTTTATTATGGCCTGTGGGTATTAAAAATAAATAAAAACCATCAAAATAAATAGAGGGAAATAAAACAAAAGAGATTTGAAGAGTAAAGCTACAGAAGGTTGAAATCCATCAGAAACAAGACTTTAAAGGCGTTTTCTCTTTGCTCAGTTTAGTTCTGCATGATGCCTTGATTTTAACAAACAATTGTTTAATGCAGATAATAATTGTTATCTGCATTAAACATTTTTTTAATCTGCTGTATTGTGACATAGCGGTGCATTGGTGGTCAGAGGCTGAGCTGATGGTCCATCTTTCTAACTCTAAGCTTCAGTATCGATAGTGTTAAATGAGCTGGACTGTCTGCTAAAGGTAAGGCCAGCCTTTGTGAAGCGGTTGAACTCTGCCTGCCTGTGTGGTCGGGGCCGTCCGTGACCACGAAGAAGTCGATGATCCTGGACGTAAAGTCGAAGGCCACCTGCGTTTTGCTGTGGATCACCGTAACGCAGTGCCTGTCCCCGTAGCTGGCCCGGGGCATGCCGCCACTGAACAGCAGGAAGGGAGGCCTGAACAACAAGTTTGCATTCAGGTTAATGAGTAACGCATGAGGCGAGCTGAGCGAAGCGCTGAAGGACGGCGGACTCACCCAGCAGCTGTTGGAAGCTGAACTATTTTAGTGATGGCCTTGCAGGGAAAGTTTCCTGTGAGCAAACAAACGATCAGCCTCTCAAACAAACAGCAAGTTCGGCAGGAAGGGGGGGAGGGGGGGGTTGCTCTTTACCGTATGGGATGTCCGATTTCTCCTCTTCCTCGCCGTCGTCCTCGCCCGTCAGAGACCAGCTGCAGTAGCTCCCATCGCTGTGCGAGCTGAGGATGGAGCCTCCGTCCTCCGTCCACCACATGCTCTCCAGCTGCTGTGGACAAATCACACTCCACTGTTAATGTTACGTTCACACTGCAAGCACTTCCAGCAGCAGGAGCAGCCACTTTATGTGCAAAGTCAATGGCCAACGTGCATCAAAAGGTCCTGCAGCGCACCTGGAGCTGCAGGAGCAGCGCCTCAGGAGCTTCTGAGCATCTGAGGAGAGATGCGCTTCTTAAGCAGCAGCTGCTGGAGTTGGAAAAATGGAACTTTATGTGATGTGGACGCGCCACATCAACCAATCAGAGAAGCTGATCTGGGAGCTGGCAGGGAGACAGACACAGCACTGCTGATGCAGAGCGCTATGATCACTCCTCTGAAACAGTTTATTAATGCCTAAATTAACTTCAAATGTAGAAACCTGCCGGCAGAATATGTTCGCTTTTATTATCCTGCTGCCTGCAGTTTGTAGCACAGACCTGAAAAACGCTAACATCTGTCATTCATCTGAATGAAACTAAACTGAAGTCATAGCAGGCTTTTAGCTAGCAATGCGTACGGCCGTACGTTGTACGATATTTACTAAAAAAATGACAAATATGTTTGCTTTTATAATCCTGGTGCCTGCAGCTTGGATTACATGTGTGAAAAATACTAATATCTCCTTCCAGCTGCCATGAACAGTAGCGAAAAACCACGGGAAGGCGAGCGGGCCTGAGCAGCTGCTGGTGGGGATTCCCAGTGACAGCGCACCGCTGGTATGTGGGGGTCTGAGCGGCTCCCACAGAGAAATAATCTTTGAAGGCAGGATGGTAATCTGGATGAACTGACTGCACAGACCATGTTTTCAGAAGGACTTTCTCACTTCAACATAGATTCAAACTACTTTTTACCCACTGATCACAGCAAATATAGCAAAGCTGCTCTCTGGCATTGAACACAGGAGCAGCAGAAGCATCAGACGCATCTGGACACACTTTACTGGACGTCTGACAGGGTATATACAGGAATATAACTAACTTAATGCTTATTAATGCTCTTCGGAATAATTTTAATGCCATTAACAAGTACCAAAGACTCTCGTATATATAATATGGCAAAACCATTCGTCATCTTTACCGTGGACAGGTTGCAGTCATGTCCCGAATTCCTCGTTTTTCAGACACTTTTGTTGAAATTTGCATTTCCCCATTCTCTAGTTTTTTTCTGCCTCGAGCTTCTTTTTCAAACATAGGGCTTTACGATCAACCGGAAGTAGTTCCGCGCAAACATATTATATCTGACGAAATTGTTTTTTTTTTTAAATAAAGCATTTTAAATGCCACAATAATCACATTTAATGAATTTTAATGCCAATTAAGGCCTTAATTTAATGACCTAATGATTTTTAATGACCAGTGCAAAGCCTGTCAGACCTTAATGTGGACAAGCATCAGAAAGGAAGCAGCAGAAGCTTTTTTGATGCTGACGTGAATGTAGTGCCTGCCAGAGGCAAACCGCCGTGGGCCGAGCTGCTGACGCGGTTACCTGCGTGGCCGGGATGTGGCGGATGGCGCAGTGCCGCTCCAAATCCCAGACGACCATGAGGCCCCGCCCGTAGCCGATGACAACCTGGTTGGAGTTGACCGGGTTCTCCTGCAGGGCTTCCACGTGTTCCAGGTTCCTGCGACCGACGTAGTCGTCTGGAACGCTGCGGAGAGACGGAGAGAGACACGGAGGAAGGATGAGGAAATAAATCAGAGGGAAAAATAAATTCTTTTTGGAAAGAAAACCTTTATCATTTGGGTTTCATAAAGCTGGCTTCAGGCCTCACTCTGTTTCCATGGTGATTGACCCAGCGAACTGCTTCGGAGCCAGGTTCAGAGCCACGTTTAAACTGCGTCTTTGTTAAATCCAGCACCAGGGGGCCCCAGGAATGACAGAAAGCATCACGGCACTGATTATGACCCAAAATAAGCTGCATATAAGTTAAATGAAATTAAATAATGTAGCAAATATTAACAACATATATGTTTCTCTTTTTTTGGTGATAAAAACTTGCTTTAGCCAATAAAAGGCCTCAGAGACGGTCTGTCTGCCTTAAGCCGAGGCAGAGGAGGGGGAAGCTGCAGTTCTAATGAAAACAGAAGAAAATCCTCCCTGAAATGTTCATCATGAACTTTACTTTCTAGAAAAGAACCTTCTTAATTGAAACTGGAAAAGGAAAAGTCCGCTCATATTCAGAATTTAAACTTCTGAACTTACTTTAAATGTAAAATTATTCCATCCTGTTCAATAAATGATCAGTGTTTTTAATTCAGAGTAATTTTCATGTGAATGTGCTTTACTGGAGGCGTCCATGTTTGTTAAAGAACACTACTGCCACCTACTGGTTTGTGACCTCACAGTGCGGTATCGGCTGTTGATCAAGTCCCAGTGCTGTATCTGGTGTTTGTCTCTTCAAGTTGGTAATCCAACGACCAACTCGTCCGTGGAGGATCAGGAATCAGAAAGGTGGAATAACTCTTTATTTTCACTTTTACAGTAGCAGTT